ACAAACCACAAACCCCACCACTGCATTAAGGTGACCCCAGCATTGAGGGAAGGGGTAGGCTGTAGTAAGGGAGGGACAGTCGGGACTATGCTGTTATCACTGCCTAAACCTCTAGCACAAGAAAGTAATTTTCGGCGATGACAACAAATATTAACCCTTTCAAGGTTCATGCCGTAGTCCTACGGCTTTGAGTTGAGGGTCCAAACCATAGATCTACGCCATGAGCTCAGCTCACTCTGATAAGCTGTGAACTGTAAATCTGGGCCTAGATATGAGAGAATACATCTATGTGGTATGTGTGCACCACATAAAACAAATCCTGCAGCAAACAGTACATAATGAGAGAAAAAAAACGAGATTGTAATTTTCTATTAAAACAGTGACTTTGCAATGTTTTTACGTATGTTTTTTATAGTTGTATTTGTGATTTCTTGGTCTCATTTAATAGAATGGAAGATATATTACAGAAATAGAGATGATTTTGATTGGTTTTAGTACTGGAAATGGCTTGATTTAACATTTCCTCAAAGTAGAGGAAATGTTAAATTTTTGCTGATGTTCAAGAGGAAACAAATGACCTCACACGTTCCCTTTACATAAAGTTTAAATTCACAGAAACAAATAAAAAAAATACAGAATGCTATATACAGTTAAACAATATCTAACTAAACAGATATTTTAAATTTTAAGAAATGCTTACTCTGCTTCTTAGGAGTACATGCCATGGCTTCACGCTCAGTCTGCAGAAATTTAACTTGAAGTGATGATTGCAAGTGAAATGAGGGTAGCTCCAATGTCTTGGATGAAGAGCCTTTCACTGGCATTAAGGCACCCTTCTTCCCCAGCCCTGAAAAAATAACAGATAATTAGACTCTTTTTACGTACGAGTATTCGAGATATTTGTTAATGACCTATTAGGTAAATTAATATTTGAACTTTTATACTGTACATTATTATCAGTAATATAAGATGCAATGTATAAAAAAATTCACTGTTTAATGTTGCCAAAGCTAAAAACTATCTTTTTTTTTAATGCTTAATTTAACTACCATCTATTATCCTGTTTTGCTACATCTGTGCCATGTCAAGAAACTTCTATATACTGTACAGTATAATAGCACTATACTATATGCTATTTTTGTAAAAAAATATCAGAAACATTACATTAGAGTAGTGTCAAATATTTCACATCATTTGAACTGAAAAAACAAAAAACATCCCTGTCAGGAAAACAGATATTATTTATATAAGCAGTTGAACTGAAATCTATGCACACGCCTGGCAAGAAAACTACTGAATGAATGATAATGAATGCATTTCCTTTGTGTGGGTCACTCCACCTTAGTGGGAGATGGCTGATATAAAAAAAATACTCCTGAACTATAAGTTTTGGCATCATACTTCATAGAATTTTTACTACATTCATAGGGAAGTAGTAAATCAGTAGGGGTCACAGTGCCTGGGAAAATTAGTGGCATTCAATTCAATCGAAGGAAGGTGAGGGCAGGCCCAACTTCTTAAATCAAGAGCCACTTGTTGGCATTATGGAGCCTCCGTTGAGGGGATACCTTACAGAAACATTCGTACTGCAAAATGTTTAAAAATAAAAAATTGTAATCCTCGATTTAACGAAATATTAGGGAATAGCTGGTGGATGGTAATGGCAATTGTGGTGGATAGAGGCCGAGACTAAACTGGTTGTTTTAAAGTGACCCAGCAGATTTGTGTGTGAGCATGTTAGGTAGGAGCAAGTGGAGACAAGTGGTTTTTAATCAACTTGCCGTGGAAGTGTGAACAGGGTAACTTTTATGAAGGGATTCAGGTAAACTGGTTAACCAGCCTGGAGTCCTGGAGGTAGGAAGAGCAGTGTCTGCACTCTGAAGGAGTGGGGATGTTGCAGTCACAGGATAATCTGACTGTTGTGTCAACACACTTCTGGAAAAAAACAGAGTGAATGAATGTTGGTGAATGCATTTTCCTCTCTGGGTCAACCTACTTAGCAGGAGATAGTTATTGTGGTAATAAAAAAAATGATATCCATTAAATTGAGAATTTACTGTATTTGGTTTGTAATACTGTTCAGTTTTATCATCAAAATTTGATACGTCAGTGTGTGGCTACCCTGACTTTGATATTTTATGAGGTAGGAGCAGAAACATGTTTAACACAATTATGCAGAATGGTATTCCTGTTATAGCCCAACACAGGATGACTTTACATACGACGTAATGAAACACATTAGATTACACTAGAAGACTTAGGGGAATGAGTACACCATCAAGCATTCAACTATGGTCTCAGTATTCTAAGTGCTATACTCACATTTCAATTGTAAAGTTTTAATGTGGCAACAGATGGCACATAGTCATTAGGAAATGCTATGCCCAAATGGGTCATAGAGAATAGGAAATGGAAAGTAATCCAGTTTGATTCAAGGGAAAGTCAGGTCTCAAAAAGGGGAAGGGTAGTGTCAGTTCCATGGATCAAAAGCATTTCTCCAGCATACAAGCATCCCCATGAAATGTATAATACAGTATACAGGTGTGTCTTTTTATTTGGTAGATTCATTCCTGGCCTATGGAGCATAAACTGAACCCATTGTAACATGTAAGACAAAGAGTAGTTCTGAAACTTTGCTAATTCCATATTTCTTGACTAATGTTTACAAAAGAAAATAAACTTACCACACATGCACCAATTGGTCACATACAAAAAAGGATTTGGTTGAAAACAACTAAGAAAAAGTAACATCTAAAATTCAGTCAAAATTCTTGTGTAATGTGATATATATACATTGGTACTCACCAACAGCATCCAGATACTCAGGCACTGCTGGATGTAAAGACAGAGGATGCTGACGAAGGTCTACTCGGTGACACAGGATGGAGCAGTGTCTACTCGGTGACACAGGATGGAGCAGAGTAGCTAAGGTCAAACTCCACATCACTTGCAGAAAGCAGAGTAACATCGAGGAAGAGGCACATGCAAGAGGCTTGTCAAACCAGCCCTAACTAGCCCTGAAGGGCTATTGATCACTTGCATCTTGTATTAGGCAATCATAAGTTTCCAGGGCCTTAACCCTGATTGCAGCAGTGCAAACATTCATTTTCTTCTGGTTCTGAGTTTTCCATCCATGCTACCAGCCTTTGCTCCAGCAACAGATTTCTTACTCTGCCTGATACTCTAGCATAAGGGTTTAGAGTGCATTATAGATGTCCTAATGCTTTCAGAATCCTTGCTGAAAATTGGGTGCACCTTAACCTCCCTCCCTGCCACCCAAACAGTTTACATAAGGCACAAAACCCATGTGTTACTCAGCAAAAGTGGGTAAAACTATCCATCACTTGTCCAATATACGAAATTGGTGAAAGTTCGGACAGACAATTTCATGAAATTTTTTGATAATAATAATGGTGAAGTACTAAACATGTAGGGGTCAAATAGTACATGGGTGGTAATCAAGTTTCATCCATGGTGAAGGGGAAGATAACTTTAATTCTGTGGCACAAATGACTATCATCAGAACAAGACTTTGCCCCTTTAATGATATTTCATCAGGGGGAAAAAATATGGAAGCTTCACTTTTGGTATTTAGTATAAATATAAGCACAGTTCCTGCACTCTGAAGGAGGCATGAGGATATTGCTGTGCAAAGGGTCACCTGATCTTTGACATCAGCATGCTTCTAACAGAACAGTGATTGAATGAGTGATGGTGAATGTATTTCCTCACTTCCTTTTTTTTTGGGGGGGGGGGGTCACCCTACCTTAGTGAGAAACCTCTAGTGTGTTAAAAGAAAATATGGTAATGAGGATGAATTAATTTTATTATTATTATCATCATAATTAATGAGGATGAAGCCATCACTACAAATGTAATCAGCGATAATTCACAGGTTTTGTCAGGCACAAGTTTGTATAAAAAAGTTCAATGCCCTTGCAATTATCAAGTGAAAGTGAAAACACACTGGGAATGTGAATGCCATATATCTGCCAAAATACTTAAAGAAAGCCCTTGAATTAACAGACTAATAGGGGAGAGGAGGTGGCCAGTAATAGTGATGGTGATGGAGATGAGATTGTTTTGCTGTGCTTGTAACAGTAAAAAACAATTCTCTAAACAGACTATTGTTCTCAAATCATCTGACCCAGCAGATTTTGTCCTGTATTACCCACGCCCATTAAACTAAGGATTTACTGTAGTACTGTAGTTGCAATGTGTCTCTAATGTACAATATTGTAGCAATATGTGTATTAAGTTATAAAAATAAACTTTTGGCTTTGTGAATTATAAAAGATACAGCAAAAGCACCAGTCAAATCCATAAACAGTGATAAAAAAAGTACTTACATTGTACAAATTAGAGAAAAAATTAAAAAAAAAAAAAAGTTGTCTCAAAATGTTATTGACATTTTAATATGTGCATTTGTGGGAGTTGTAAAGCAGTCCAATAAGAGCATTCAGATCATAACTGAAAGGACCTAGGTTTAATACCTGGGCAAGATTAACAGGCATTTTTTTTTTTTTACATCTACCATCCCTGTTCACCTAGCATGAAAGACACAATACCTAGGAGTTAGTTTGATGTTTTGGGTCACATCCAAGACAACAAGACCTACGGATCCCAATGAGGTAAGGCACACTGCTTGGCTTATCCCAAGTAACCTTCCAAGATAATTAATCATATCTGATCAAGAGTTCTAAGAAAATTTGACTATTGTGTATTCAACAAAAGCACAAAAGTAACTCAACTGAATAAGCAAAAAAAAATTCATTAATAATTCTTTTTAACACACTGGCCATTTCCCACTGAGGCAAGAAGAAGAAACACTTTCATCATCACTCGCTCCATCACTGTCTTGCCAGAAGCATGCTGATACTAGTTAAAAAAACTCAACATAATAAATTATGTCGGCACCAATCACTCAATATAAGTAACTGAAATAAGTGTATACTTCTGCTGTAAAGTATTGCACACAAAGCATAATGCAATCTCACTACTGTATTAACAAATTTATTAATAAATATGGGTTACATTTTTCTTTTTTAATTAAGGCTCCTTTGAGCTTTGTAATCTACAATACAAAAGTAAAAAATACAAAAAAATTCAAAATGCAATAATTGGAAAATCAAATTAATAGCAAATAAACAAGGTCTTTTATCTCTGGTACATATTAATACTATATGTAATAGTGATACATGTGAATACAACTAGATAAAAATTATTCATAACCTGCACTTAAGTGAAGCACCATTTTTGTGTACCTACATATTAATATTTAATAATTTCTATTCTAATTTAGTTCTCAGTGTGTTTTCATTTGCACAAAACTGCTTATTTACACAACCTTTAAATTTCCTAGATATATTATAAGCTCCCCCCTTTACACTTCCTTCCCCAGACTTTAGCAACTTTCTCCATGAAGCATTGTATGAGCATTTTTTTGTGACTAAAATCATTTTCATTTACCTATCCTGTCAGTGACATGGTTCTTTTGGGAGACTTTCTAGAAAAGTTACTAAGGTTTGTAAATAAATTTAGAAAGATGTGTAAAAGTGGGAAATTAAAAGCAAACACAGGAAAGAACAAGGTGATGAGAGGAACAAAAAATCTACGAAGTGGAAAATCAGATATGACAATGAAGGGAGAAAGTATGGAGGAAGCAAAATTTTTTCAAATATTTGGGGTTGATTTATCAATAGTTGGGTCTATGAAAGATTAGGTCAACCATAAAATACATGATGAGGGGGAGGGGGATGCATTGAAGCATGTGTGGAAATAAAACTTTATCCATGGAGGAAAAATAACAAAAGGGAGAGGGGGTAGAGGTACCAGACAGTAATGATATCGACAATGTTATACAGAGTATAAGGCACAGGCTTTAAACATTACAGTGAACAGGAGACTAGAGGCAGTGATGTCATGTTTGAGGACAATGTAGTGTGAATATTATGCAGAGAACCTGTTCTTGGAGGACTGAGAAGAGGTCGAGAGAGAAAAACAGGATAATTATAAGGGTGTATAAATTGAGGATGGAAGGAAGGAGGGAGAAACAGAGGCTGTATCAGAGTGGTTAGAGGGAGGGGATGAAGGAGATTTAAAGTGCTAGGGGCTTAAGCATATAGCAAGCTTGTGTGAGCATTTTAGATCAAAGAGAGTGGAGACAAGTGATATTTATGGCTTGACGTGCTGTTGGAGTGTAAGCAAGATAACATTTAAGAAGACATTCAGGAAAACCGGTTAATCAAATTCAAGTCTTGGAAGTGGAAAGGAAAGTGACTGAAACACTGAAGGACAAGTGGAGATAATCTTAATTGGAGGGTCATCTGTACTGTGATGTTAGCAGACTTTTGGCAAGACAGTAATTGAGTGAATGGTAAAGTGAAGGTTATGTTGAAAATGGTATAAAATACCAAAAAGTTGATGATTAAGACACATGTGCAACAGTTAGGTATCTTTATTGTTACACACGTCTTAATCATCAACTTGTTGGCTTCTGAAGAGGTCTACTGTGTAGGTGAAACATTTCAACAATAAAGTATAGGCATTTTCTTTCTTTTTTGGTGGAAATGGCTTTAAAATACAAGCTGGATAAATAAAGTGAAAAGGGTTGGGTTTGAGAAGGTCCTACCTAGCATGGGCCTACTGCAGTGCTCCTTTATTCTTATGTTCATATGGTTTTAGCAAGACTTGCCTAGCATGAGCTAATAGCCCTACTTCAATACTCCTCTAATGTTATCACCCACAGTGCAGGGATCATAGAAACAGGCTGCAAACAACAAGAGCCTGGTCAAATATGTAATCAACAGAAAATCCTGAGTCCAGGTTGGACTGCAAGGGCAGAAAAAACAAAACTAATTACAGATATATTACAGGTATCAACATTTTAACCATTTGAAAATATTACCCACAAATAAGTCAACCCCCATACCTGTCACAAAAGAAACTGGGCTTTAAACCTCAATGTATATTCAAATTATATATACTTTTTTCAGGATGTCCTAATGGATGATTGCTGAAATGCAGAAACATTTGCAAGGATCACTTCCTTTATGTTCTTCACCATCTCTTCTGGAGTCCATTGGGGGTTGTATCTCTGTTCTGTGAGTTCCTTGGAGTATGGCTCTCGAGGGCTGTTATGATACAGTGACTGCAGCACAATCTTTGGTGCTTGTTGCTGTAATTATAGACAATAATCACTAGTCATGAATACACATTGATAAAAAGGAAAGAACTGGAAGGAAAGGGGGGGGGGAAGAACAAAGAATATCACTGGGAAAGACAAGAGAAATTGAATAAAAAGCACAAAAAAGAAAACTTCTAAACCATTTCTTTTTTCAGTTTCCTTTCTTGTACCCACCCACCCACCCTCCCTCCCTCCCTTCCTCCCCCTCTCCCTCACCCTCTCTCCCCCTCACCCTCCCCTCCCCCTCCTCCCTCCCTCTCTCTTTTTCACTCTCTCTCTCTCTCTCACTCTCTCACTCACCCTCTCTCCTCCCTCTCCTTCCTCTCCCTCCCTCCCTCCCTCCCTCCTCCCTCCCTCCACTCCCTCCCTCCCTCCCTTCTCTCTCTCTCTCTCTCCTCTCCCCTTCTCTCTCTCTCTCACTCTCTCACTCTCTCTCACTCTCTCACTCTCTCTCACTCTCTCCTCTCCCCCTCTCTCACTCTCCCCTCTCTCACTCTCTTCATTCTCTCTCTCCCCTCTCACTCTCTCACTCTCTCTCTCCTCTCTCACTCACTCTCTCACTCACTCTCACTCCTCTCACTCTCACTCACTCTCACTCTCTCACTCCTCTCACTCACTCTCACTCACTCTCACTCTCACTCTCTCACTCTCACTCTCTCTCTCTCATTCTCTCATTTTCTCTCACTCTCTCTCACTCTTACTCTCACGCTCACTCAATACTCTTGCCTATTTTAGGTAAAAAACTTTTGAGTAACATCGGAAAAATGACTTACACTTTAATCTAGTTTTAAGAGTAAAAAATATATCTAACTTGAAATATATCTACGTAACTTGAATACACGCCGAATATCAGTAAAAAATTTCAGGCATAACTAAGGAGATGTAGGAGACTGGCATCAATATGACAGATAAAGTAACAAGAGTAACAAAAACAGAATCCTTTGGTATACTTGTACATGTGCTCCTCGGCTCATGATGGTTCGACTTACCATATTTCAACTTTATGATGGTGAAAAAAGAATTACTCTGGAGATGAAACTTAAGATAATTACCCAGCATGAAGGCAGGAAGTCTAATTTGTATTCATTTATTTACTTTTCAATACTGGTTAGTACAGTAACTATTTATTTACTTATTCAGTGGCAGTAGTTATTTACTTATTTATTTAGCATATACAGCCTCTCCTCACTTAACGACGGAGATCTGTTCCTAAGACCACATCTTTTATTTTATTTAGTAATTTGAGCATACATACAGAGGTACAAAAAAATACAGGTAAGAGCAGCATGCCAAAGCCACTTGTATGCATAGCATTACGGGCTGGCTTAAAATTAACTTAAGATTAACTAAGCAATGATGTAATCAGTGATAAAACATTATTGTAAACAGATAACAATAAAGCACAAATGAGTATTACAAAGACAGGTCATATGGTTGCATGCATTGCTGTACATTCATTCGAATGTAGTATTCTGTTAGGTACTGTATTTACAAAATAACAAGTTTAGATTGGTCTTAGTTAGTAACATTATGTTGATATATTGTGAAGAACATTACAGATTTACAATTATAAAGGTTCCGTAACTCAGTATTTATTTGGTTTTTTGGGTTGAGTAGTGATCTTTTGAGAAGAACTTGAATTATAAAAACAGGTAGTGTATATCCTTATTAAATTATCGTAAAGGGTTCTTAAAATGGAGATATCGTAGGTTGAAAGTAGACACACTTGTAGGATGGTAACTATATTGTCAGACTGAGATGAGGGATGGAGCCCAGCTGCTTGCCTGTCTACGCCTGGATTGGTCTGCCGCCGTAGTGTGGCAAAAACAGAGGGATGGAGCCTCAGTGTGCATCCGTGACGTCACACAATAGCCACAGGTATACAAGGGATCGCGTTACAGAATGGTTGATACTAACGCTATGCTACACAATACAGGGAATACAGGGATCAGCAACTATGCTGACATATTTACAGGGAATGAATTCCAGATTTTAGGGCCTTTTATGTGCATTGAGTTTTTGCATAGCGTGAGATGGACACGAGGAACATCAAAGAGTGATCTGTGCCTTGTGTTATGGTCATGTGTTCTGTTGAGGTTGGCAAGATGTTTGAGGGGAGGGTTAATATCAGAGTTAAGTGTTCTATGTATGTAATAGGTGCAGTAATAAGTATGGATGTTTTGTATGGTGAGTAGGTTTAGTGTTTTGAATATTGGTGGAGTGTGCTGCCTGTAGTGGGAATTTGTTTATCATCTGACTGTACCTTTTGTTGGGTAATTAGTGGTCTGAGATGGTTAATTGTTGTTGAGCCCCATGCACAAATTCCATAGGTGAGATAGGGGTAAATAAGAGAGTGATATAGGGCCAGGAGGGCTGACTGTGGAACATAGTACCGTATCTTCGATAGTATGCCTACGGTCTTGGAAATTTTCTTAGAAATTTGTTGTATATGTGTATGAAATTTGAGTCTATTATCAAGGTGATTCCAAGAATTTTCCCTCTGTTAGCTTTGTGATAGGTGATCCGTTTATCATTATGCTAAGAGGGACATCTGTAGCTCTGTTACCAAACTGAATGAAGTAGGTTTTGTCAATGTTTAGTGTTAATTTGTTAGTCCTCATCCAGGTAGATATTTTCTGTAATTCGGTATTTACAGTATTGGCTAGCGTGACTGGGCTCGGGTGAGAGAAGACGTATGTAGTGTCATCTGCAAATAGTGTGGGTTTGAGTAATTGTGAAGCATTTGGTAGGCCATTTATGTATAGGAGAAAGAGAAGAGGGCCAAGGACACTTCCCTGTGGGACACCAACTGTAATTGCTTGTGCGGAAAAGTTTGCCCCATTTGCGTACACATATTGGCTTCTGTTGCTGAGGTATGACTTGAGGTAGTTGAGGGAGTGCCGTCTTATACCATAGTGTGACAATTTTATGTGGAGCAAGTCATGGTCAACTGTATCAAAAGCTTTACGTAAGTCAATGAAGATCCCCAGTGGGACGTCTTTTTTCTCTATTGCAGTGTATATATGTTCCAGCATGTGTGTAATAGCATCATTAGTATTTTTATTAGGCCTGAATCCAAATTGGCAGGGGTTGAGTATGTTTTGGGAGATGAGGTAGGAGTAGATTCGTTTATGAATTAATTTTTCGAAGATTTTTGAGAGAGGGTGTAAGTTGGATATTGGCCTATAGTTATTCAACTCTGTTTGGTCTCCTCCTTTGTGGATCGGGGTGACCCTTGCTATTTTGAGAACTGTAGGGAAGGTGGAGGATTCAATGGATTTGTTAAAGAGTGTTGCAATGATTGGTGATAGCACTTGTGACACTTTTTTGTATATAAAGGGTGGTAAGGTATTTAAATCTCCTACCTTGTTTTTTAGTGCGTTGATAATAAGGGAGACTTCGTAGGGCTTAGTCGGAGCTAGGAACAGTGTGTTCGGGTAGTTGCCAGTGAGGTAGTCATTTGGTGGGGTATCTGAGCTTGGGATTTTATTGGCAAGGTTTTGTCCTATAGTGGAGAAGAAATCATTGAGTCTGTTTGCTGTTTCTGTTGGTGGGAGTTGGGGTTCATCTGATTTTGCTAATTTTATTTCGCTATTTTGTGATATCTTTTTTGTTCCTAGAATTTCTGATAGGGTTTTCCAGGTCTTTTTTATATCACCTCGTAAGTTGGATAATCTGTTCTCATAATACAATTTTTTTGCCCTTCTTATCAGGCTGGTTAGGATTGATGAGTAACGTTTTGTTTGGTCTCCGGTTATGTGACCCATTCTGTACTGTTTTTCATATCGGTGTTTTGTGTTTATGGATATGAGAATGCTGGGTGTTAGTCAGGGACTGTTCAGTCTCTTAGCTGTCATCTGTTTAGTTTTTTTAGGGCAGTGCTTGTTATAGAGGTATTGGGTCTTTTTTAGAAAATTATTAATACATTCGTCAATATCTGTATAGATTTCTAGCTCAGTGTGCCAGTCAATGTTTGTTACTGATATTGTGAAGTTATTAATGGCTGCCTCATTGTGAAGTCTGAAGGTGACTTTAGTAGTGTCTTGGGGTAATTTACCAAGAGTTATGAGGAAAGTAGGGTAGTGGTCTGTGGTATTATCTGTAATTATGCCTGATTTTAAAGGGGATATGGTGTTGGTCCAGATGTGGTCAAGTAGGGAAACACTAGTCTCTGTAACTCTTGTAGGTTTTGTTACTGTTGGTAGCAACATGCAGTTACTCATAGTGTTTGTGAATTCAGTAATGTGTGGGTCCTGGTCCTGCAGGAGATTTATACTGAAGTCACCTGAGAGTAGTAAGTGATCTTTGTTCATGCGTGCATCAGTTATCATACTTCCTAGGTTTTGACTAAATTGGCTAATGTTTGACTGTGGAGCTCTGTAGATGTTTATCACTGCGAGAGGTTTCTGTAGGTATTTGGATTTGAATTTAGCTATTATATATTCACCATGTTCATCCCATGTGCAAGTATTAGTGATACATTCTAGTTGGTCTGAGTAGTATATAGCTGTGCCACCCCCTTGTTGGTCTGGCCTACAGTTGTGTATGGCTGTGTAACCAGGAATGGCATAGACATCTGTAGTATCGCTAAGTGAGGAGCATACTGTAATGGGAGTGGGTTTGTGTCAGCTATCTTTGATATTGTTTTAATGTCACCTTTGCACCATTTATAACATTTCTGGTATATTTTTAAATGTTATACAGTAGTGTATAGCATATTGTAATAAACAGAACAGTAGAAATCAGCTCTAATATCATTATTTAGGCATGCATACTGGTCAGAGAGCCTGTCATGAGTCCAAGGCATCGGTAAACGAGTACGTCGCTAAGTGAGGAGAGGCTGTATTCATGTCTGAATTATGATATTTTCAACTTATGATGGGATTGTCGGAACCTAATCCCATCTAAAGTCGCGAAGCACCTGTAACTGCTTTACTAGTTTAGCAAGACAATAAATCAGATGGTTGGAACTACATTCTTTATTATTATTTTTTGTTTTTTGCATATAAATTTACAGACTATGAGCTACTGTTATACTCTAGCTCGTTTCAAAGCCCGGGCCAATGTAAGGTACACTACCACCTTCCCAAAGATGCAACCCACAACAGATATCTATTTACTATTACAAAAAACACTTTATTTCTATAAACTGAGGTAGAGTATATTATACAATTAAGGTGACTGACATATATACAACTACTTATAGAAAGCCCCTTATTATATAAAGCATTTTGGGCATCTTTAAAACCAAATTATGATTACAAGTATATGAGAATAATATACATACTAATTTTTAAAATATTGGAAGTATGCCTGTATTTAGTAGTTCAATATAAAAATATAATGATATACGAAGGAATTAGCTAGGTACATAAATCAAAGGAATGACAGCCAAGGCCAGAGACAATAGAAGATGAAAGAATTGCTCAGTATAATTAACCCTTTCAGGGTCCAAGGCCCAAATCTGGAGTCACGCACCAGTGTCCAAGAATTTTCAAAAAAAAAATTTGTTATTTTTTCTTATGAAATCGTAGAGAATCTTTTTGTGAAGGTAATAAAACAAAAAGTACGAAATTTGGTGGAAAATTGACGAAATTATGCTCTCGCGAATTTTGATGTGTCAGCGATATTTACGAATCGGCGATTTTGCCGACTTTGACTCCCATTTTAGGCCAATTACATTATTCCAATCAACCAAATTCTTAGCTATTTCACTAGTATTACTTCTATTCTATTGATTGAGCACAAGAAATCGCCAAGTCAACTGTTTCAACTACAAAATAAAGTGATCGGAAATTGTTAATTTGGCCAATTTAACACAAAGTTCAAAATATTCCAATTTCAAAATAGGGTCCAGAATGAACAATGTAGGCATTCCTGGCACTAAACTAACATTTCCTCTGTTCATTAGTTATGTTTTGAGGCTTTACAAATAAATTCCATTTTGATTTTTTATTCACATAATGAATTTTTATTCACACCAAAAAATAGAAGATTTACTGTTATGCAATACTGTAATAATTGTATAAATATCATCACCATATTTGTGAATGTATATTAGACCCACCAGCTGACGTGTATTAGACGTGTGAGGTTGTTTGTTTACTCTTGAATATTGGCAAAAATTTAACATTTCTGCTACTTTGAGCTCAGTTTCAAGCCATTTCCAGTGCTAAAACCAATCAAATCATCTCTATTTCTGTAATATGTCTTCCATTCTATCAAATGAGACCAAGAAATCGCAAATACAACTATAAAAAACATACGAAAAAACACTGCAAAGTTGCTGTTTTAATCGAAAAATCAGATTTCTTTTTTTTTTCTCTCATTTACACAGTGGCGCAGACTGTTTTATGTTGCACCAACCACATAGTGTATTCTCTCATATCTAGGCCCAAATTTTACCACTCCCATTTTATAGAGTGAGTGAGCTCATGGCGTAGATCACGGTTTTGGCCCCCTGAAAAAACCCGTAGACTACGGGAGGGGCCCCTGAAAGGGTTAAAAAAAGGACTGCAGGTACCTTAAATCTTTAAAGATTTCAAGATTTTACTACCTTGGAGCCCGGCCCGGGGCCAGGCTCTCGGGTGCTCCCCTTAAACCCCAAGCTTTTGCTGCTAGGGGCCACTCCCCCACAATCCATCCACCTGTTTGATCGGGCACTTGGTGAAGATACTCATCCTCTTGAAGGTTTCCCAAAAATTTGTTTTAGCTGTTTTTTTTGATATTTTCGGGAGAAGCCCCGGGCCGGAAGTACCGCCCGGGCTGGGACCCTAGATTTTTTGATACAGTGTTCCCTTTTTGTCCCCACGCACCCCCTCCTCACTGATTTTTTTTCACTTCCCCCATATCTCCACTCCAGTATTTTTAGGCGTGTGAAGATTTGGACGGGCCCCTCGAGTTTTTCCAGGTAAAATTAAACATGTATTTTTTCCTCTCTCCTTGCCCCAGTGATACTTTTTCAAGACTTGAAGGCTTTTCCCAGTTTTTTAGGGCTTTATTGGCTAAAAGGGGCTTAAACGATCTCATAATGTTCCACTTCTGAATTTTTCTCCTCTTTGAATGGGGCCGTAAGCAGGAGAAATATCAGACTGGAACTAATCAGAGTGTTTCACTCACATTGACCATTAAAGCACCAAAATTTATGGGAATCCTTAAATCTTGAACATTACCAAGGAGCAGATGAGACTTCCAAACATTTTATTCTCATCTCACGGGTAATTAAACTTGGTATTTTTTGGTTTGACCCAAGCACTCTACCACTGAACGGTTTTGATCTGGTCTAAAAAACTCCCCACAAACAAAATAAATTCTCTGCTTCAAAAGGACATTTTAAATTCAAAAAAATTTATATTATTCTAGTTAAAATAATACGACCGGGGGAAAGAGGGGCCCAAGTTAATAAAGGTTAAAAAATGAAAGTCCTTCACATCAACAAGAGAACAACCTTGTTGAAACGCTCTGCATCGTACTCAATCACGCGCAACCAAAAAAAACACAAAACCTGAAAACATCATGATAAAAATTTAAAACCTGCAAAACCGGTATTTTTATTGTAACTTTTCACCATCCGGGGCTTTATCATAAAAATTTAAAGTACATAAGGGGAAAACATTGACTATAAACAAAATCATACATAAAAAAATTTTTTTTTTTAATAGACAGTCATACCCCCTAAAAAAAAAAGGCACAATACCAGATTGGCCCCAATTCACAAAAAACCCTGCACATCCCCAAAAACAAAATCCCCCCAACAAACACAGAATACAACCTTTTTTCATATTTGCTAATATACGGGCCTTAAGCCACCCCAACAAAAAAATTCCCTTTTATCAGGGGACTTCTAAGGAGTCTAATAATGTTTGCAGTCTTCACAAACCACACAAAAGTCACTTTGACAGTAAAATTTATGGAAAGTGGTTACAAATTTTTTCAGATGCGCAGAATAACAGCAACAGGGGGGTTTTGGCCTGTATTAAAGAGTCCCTCATCGCAGGAGTTGCTGAACCCACAAATGAGGTATTTAAGTTTATCAATAAAGATCGAAAACCAAAACCTAGTCATTGGGGTTTTTATATAAGCCACCAGTGCAATTCACAACATTAAAGGGAACACTACTAAAAATTGATTACTGTCTGGAAAATTCCAGCCCCATCCCAAACTCTTACGCTTGGTGATTTCAAAAAGGCATACAAAAGGGAAAGAATGAGCAAAAAACGTTATGTTGAAACAACCCCGGGGGTAGCGCAGATGAAAGGTCACACAACAGGGCTACTAAGTCTCTGCGAAAAACACCCTTTAACCCCGCAGATAGGGAGAAACAAGCTAAAAAACATACTTGACCCCTTTATCTTCACAAATTGAGGACCGAAAAGAACAAAAGAATATCAAAAAAAACAATTTCCGACCCAAAACCTAACGAACCCAACATACATGCATAGGGGGGGCCTATCAGCGAATGCATGTACCTGTGAAAATGCTTCACAAAATACAACTTCAACAAAAGAACCAAAGGGGAAGGGGAAAACCCTGCCTAAAAAAAAAAATTTGGGAAGATATCTAAATGACAGGGGCCAACCAGTGCCCCAAAGGAAACAACTTTCCCGGCAGCTGAACATGTTCATAATATTCCCCTAAGAAAAAAAAAGCGAGTAAACTGGAGAGAGAAAGCGCTCCCTCAACAGAAAGACAAAGAGTCACTGACTCCCCGGGGTGCTAAATTCTCAACACAAAGGGGGGCACGACCCGGAATGGAAACTATCGAAATTTAAATTAAATGATCTTACAGGAACAAAAAGAGACAGAAGGCTTAAAGCTATTAGTGAAATTTAAAAAAATTAAAATATTTTTTCATATGACAAAAACAAGGCAAAACACATCTAGTTGGGCCCTTACTCAGACAGGGTGGGGCTTACCCCAGATGACAACAAGGAAATGGTGAAATATTGAAATCCCCGTACACTCTGTGTTTAGTGAACCAAATCTTTGAGGTTGCGACCCAAATGATTTCTTTATGAATGCCTCAAAACTCCATAAATGTATGCAGATTTTTCCCACATTCCCTAACTCCCCATAGTTTTGAAAAAACCATTGACAAAAATGCCCATGCATCCCCCGGGCCCAGACTCGTGGGAATTGTTTTCATTTGAACGCAAGAAACCCCTCTCCCCGTCCCCAAGTACACTAGGAGGGGAGCTTGGACATGGGTGAAATTCCAGTCACTTTTAAAAAAACGGGTATACCCCCCTCCAAAGGTCAGCAAAGCATTAGCTAAGAAATATAGCCATACTCGACCTCCCCCATCATAAAAATCTTTTAAAAGTGCTAAGAAGCAGGATTTCAAATCACCTGGGTTCCCAAAATCTGCACAATCCAGGGCAACAGGGGTTTAGGGGAGGGCGCTACTTCCCCACAACTAGGGTCACTATGATAGGCCTTGATGCACGGAAGAAAACAGAATGCAGATGTAATTACACAGACTTTGCAAAAGCATTTGACAAATGCTCATGGCGTAATAGCCCCTAAAAACTGCTAAAGGAATAAATGGGAAAGTGGGGAGATGATCTTCGCTTCCTAATAAATCGAACACAAAGAGATGGCAAAAGAGTTAAATGGAGGCTGCCTAGTGAAGGCTCTGTTCCCCAAAGGGACAGTACTCACCCCCATCTTATTTTCCCATCCCAATCAGAATAGCCAGAGAATACATCCAGCACCATATCTCCTTTTTGGATGTAAGGATCTGCAGGGCGTCATCGCGAGGACCGGTTAACCCCCAAGAAGTTAAAAAAAAGTTTTCCATGGGCAACGTAAACAATATGATTTCAATGAGGACAAATTCCCAAATACCGTTATGGGAAAATGAAGGAATAAAAACTAAACAGAGTATACTACAGACTTGGCCATACAAAAGGTGGAAAAAAAATGTAAGGGACCTGGGAGTAGTAATGTCTGGGATCTCACTTTCAAGGATCACAACAGTGCCAGAGGAAAAAAAAAAAAGGGAAAAAAAAAAAAAAAAAGGGGGGGTGAAAAACGTTTCCCGCAAATCGTACAAAAAAAAAAGTTGAATTTAATGAAGAATTCAAAATGCCACAAAGGGTTTTTTTTTTGTCCCCTTAAACCCAAAAACCCTTGAACATTAAATTTTTTCTTAAAAGGGGGGAGATATATGTAACAAACACTTTAAAATCCCGGGGGGGGCCCCAAATCTGACCGAAAAAATGAAATAAAAAAGGGCAAAGGGGAAAAGAATAAAAAGTTCCCGTACACTGGAAAACCTAAGGTGGGGGGCCCCAAACTGCAACAGCCTCCCAAACGGGAAATTAAAAACCCCGGGGGGCTTCAAAAAAGGGGCCCCCTAAAAGTGGGGCGCCTTGTACATTGAAAAACCCCCTTTTTGGGGGCCCCCGACCCAAAAGCCCATTTGTAGGCCCTTACCTCGGGGCCTTCAGGGGGGGGGGGCGTTATCCCCGGAATCCTGGCTGGGGCTTATCAAAGAATGGTTCGCTTACCAACACTTGTTGATAAAATTTTTCCAATTCGGAAACCTGTCTGGCCCCCGTCGTTATTTGGAATAACCTCCTCCTAAAAGGGGACTTGCCCCTTTAAGGTTCTACCCCACCTACGTGTGGGAATTTAGGGGCCGTTTAAATGGAACCCCTTGTAAAAACAAAAAAATTTCATTCTTCCCAATGTTTTTTTTAGGTTATTTGTAATTTTTTACCAATACTTTAATTAAATGGGTTTTAAAAAGTTGATTTCCAGTTTCAGAGATTTTTTAAATTACATATTTTTGAAAAATTTTTGAAACTTTTAATACCCCATTTTCCAAAAAAAGCCAAAAAAAATTTTAAAAAAAACCTTGAAAACTTCCATGTATGGGTTTTTTTTAAAAAAAATTATTCCTGTTAATTGCTGGGAAAAAAAATTTTTAAAATTTTAAAAAGAAAGGGTTTCAAGGGGTAAACAGAAATTTTTTTTAAATACAATATGTTTTGGACTGTTTTCTCATCTGACCTCCTGGTATTAAATGCCAGCAAAGCTGGAATTAAAAAGATTTTGCAAACTCCTATTTTCTACAACATTAAAATTTAAAAAACTACAATATGCATGTCAAATGGTACTGAATTCTCCTCACAGATTTTTGTCGAAGTGTACACAGCACTGTTCCTTAAACTGCTACAGTATTAATTTATAATACAGGCAGGCCCTGCTTTACAGTGCTTCACTTGACAGTGTTTCGCTAATACAGCAAAATTCAGTAATTTAGTAATTTATTATTCAGACTTCCTACAATAAATATATTCTCCACTCACTACAAGCTAAGGACAAAAATATTTTCAGGTAAGTAATGCATAATATATACACATTTTTAGGCCTAGCTATATTGCTCACATAATATATAGCATTAACATGTTATCAGGATTTTATATGCATTTGAAAGTGAAAAAAAAGGCTATGATTCACGTTACAACAAATTTTGCTTCGTAGTAGTAGCCCGGAACCTAACCTGCTATATAATATAATAATATAATATTATTACAAAGGCGCAAATGGAAATTTAAAAACAAACTTACCACTTACAAAAATCATAGTTTTAAGAATTAATGTATTCAGATGCACAAATAACTTTCGTGCTGCAAGGAATGGTGCAAAATATTGATTCTTCAATACGTAAAATATTTTTCTACGAATATAAAATGCTAGAAACAAAAAAAAAGTTTCTAATAAAATCTGTAAAATAAATATGAAGTAGGACATCTGATTAACTGATATCTATAAATGTGATGTACTCAAAGCTCATAAGCAATTCTGGTCAGTTCTAAACTCAATACAGCTACGGTTTAGCAATAAAGGTTTACTCTTTCTCACACCACTGTAAAACAAGAAAGTTTGAGAAGAGAGAGGAAGCATCAATATATAACACTCCTCCTTAGGCAGGAAAATGTAGTAATTTCAGATCAGGTTTAGCCTAAATTTGTTGCATGAAAAGCTGCGAAAAGTGATACTAAGAGATTAGATTAAATCTAGACATTTATATATGCATTACATCCCACATGATAATATTACATAAGGTATTGTCATGTCACAACCCACATGACATATTATATAAGGTATTTCTCTATTATGACTATGGCAGAACGTCTATCTATAGAATAAAAAGAAAATTATGTTTAACAATATTTCAGATTTAATTAAAATTTGTTTTAACCCATAATTAGGCTTTTCAGTTGTAAACGCTTTCTTTCTCTCTCTCTAACTAATCATAAGTCAAGATCTAAAATGCTAAAAAATGCCAAAAATGAAAAAAAAAAAAAAAATATTAAAACTGCAAAGCTATAACGTCAATCAAAATATAAGTAGGCCAACTCTATAAAACAGGCAAGATTAAGATCAGAACTAATAACCACCTATAAAATAAATCTATTAAATTTAAACCTTGCCAAATATTAGTCATACATTCAATTAAATTAAACTTAGACTGCAACACTCACCTGAGCAACGAACTGCTTTCTAGTTTCAAAACACAACACCGATTTCCTCACTTTCTCCTCAAGTAATTCCAGCACTCTCTCGACGTAATCCATGAGACAAGTACCTGGAGGTACTGCTGGAAGTGCTAGTGTGTTAGCACCTCCTATGAGGAGCTCAACACGTGGCGAGAGATGTAGCTTGGGAACAAACACACCCTCATTCTGGAAAGAAATTTAATTAAAAATGTGTAAATTTCAAAGAAAATGGAGGATTTTTTTTATTAACATACAGGCCATTTCCCACCAAGGCAGGGTGGCCTGAAAAAGAAAAACTTTCATCATCATTCACTCCATCACTGTCTTGCCAGAGGCGTGCCTACACTACAGTCATAAAACTGCAACATTAACACCCCTCCTTCAGAGTGCGGACACTGTACTTCCCATCTCAAGTTCAGCCTACCAAAGATATGTACACAAATAACTCACACATAGGAGAGAGGATCTTATGACGATGTTTTGGTTCGACTTGGACTCTATTATTTGTCTTTTGTTCCAGTTATAGTATTGTGCCTTTCTGTTTTTTAAAAGATAAGTAGAAATGTAGCAATTTATCTGCAGTGCATATTATAACTGCAAGGCTTCCTCTAACAGTCTGACCTAAGCTAGATTTTTCTTGTGAATGCCTACTCAATCAGGATGTTGCAGCTTGCATGGCCCTTACAGCTTGGCTCATCTGGCACCGTCTGAAAAAACTTGGCAAGTTCCCACCTAACAACTCTAGTTGTGCAGTAGTAATTTCAAAGAAATTTATACAAATATGAACAAAAATCTCCAGAAACTTGCAATTTTAAAATTTAAGACAAATATTATCATAATCATAATAATATATCATAAATATTATCATCGGGAGCAAGGGGCTAGTAACCCCTTCTCCTGTATATATTACTAAATTTGAAAGGAGAAACTTTCGTTTTTCCTTTTGGGCCACCCCGCCTCGGTGGGATGCGGCTGGTGCGTTGAAAGAAAGAAGAAAGAAAATATTATCATAGTAGTACCAACACTCTTATATGAGTGTGAAGCTTGGGTTGTAAATGCTGCAGCAAGGAGGTGGTTGGAGGCAGTGGAGATGTCCTGTCTAAGAGCAATGTGTGGTGTAAATATTATGCAGAAAATTCAGAGTGTGGAAATTAGGAGAAGGTGTGGAGTTAATAAAAGTATTATTCACAGGGCTGAATAGGGTTTGTTGAGGTGGTTTGGTCATTTAGAGAGAATGGATCAAAGTAGAATGACATGGAGAACGTATAAATCTGTAGGGGAAGGAAGGCGGGGTAGGGGTTGTCCTCAAAAAGGTTGGAGGGAGGGGGTAAAGGAGGTGTTGTGGGCGAGGGGTTTGGACTTCCAGCAAGCGTGCGTGAGCGTGTTAGATAGGAGTGAATGGAGACGAATGGTATTTGGGACCTGACAATCTGTTGGAGTGTGAGCAGGGTAATATTTAGTGAAGGGATTCAGGGAAACCGGTTATTTTATATAACCGGACTTAAGTCCTGGAAATGGGAAGTACAATGCCTGCACTCTAAAGGAGGGGTTTGGGATATTGGCAGTTTGGAGAGATATACTGTGTATTTTTATACGTATATACTTCTAAACTGTTGTATTCTGGGCACCTCTGCAAAAACAGTGATTATGTGTGAGTGAGATGAAAGTGTTGAATGATGATGAAAGTATTTTCTTTTGGGGATTTTCTTTCTCTTTGGGTCACCCAGCCTCGGTGGGAGACGGCTGACTTGTTGAAAAAAAAAAATTATCATAATGATTTGTCTCCAATTCAAAGACTGCTACAGCATTTTATTTTGCAATGCAACATAGCAGGTGCTCACTAAAATGTTTGGTGCCTCATAAAAATAAGAGAAAATAAAAGAGAAAGTGAGATGAAGAAAGACAAAAAAGATAACTTTCTGAACAGAGTTGCCACTGAACAGTTGCCAGTTTTAAAGAAAAATCAACCACCTACCCTTTCTGTCCAAAAAAGAGCAAATTTAAATTAAACAGTTACCAATGGGTGTTACAACAAACAATATATTACAGTATAAGGTAAGTGCAGGTTGTTCTCAACTAATAAATGAGATATCTCCTGAAAACCTTTCATAACTAGTGGTCAGAACTCTGAACCAATTTTCCACAGAAACCCATAATATAATCCAAGATACATTAAGGGGCACTAATATTACCTGTCTACAGTAATTTCGAATTTTCAACAATATATGAAACGTAGTAGGTTGGTAGACAGCAACCACCCAGAGAGGTACTACCGTTCTGCCAAGTGAGTGTAAAACGAAAGCCTGTAATTGTTTTACATGATGGTAGGATTGCTGGTGTCTTTTGTCTGTCTCATAAATATGCAAGATTACAGGTACGTCTTGCTACTTCTACTTACACTTAGGTCACACTACACGTTTATTTATACACACTCATCTGAGTTTTCTTTGATTTTATCTTAGTTCTTGTTCTAATTACTTTTCCTTTTATATCCATGGGGAAGTGGAATAAGAATCTTTCCTCCGTAAGCCATGCGTGTTGTAAAAGTCAACTAAAATGCCGGGAACAATGGGCTAGTAACCCCTGTTCCTGTAATAATTACTAAAAAGAATAAGAAGAAGAAAATTGTCAAAGTGGGAAGTCTGAATGTGCATGGATGTTGTGCGAATGATAAGAAAGAGATGATTGTGGATGTTATGAATGAGAAGAAGCTGGATGTCTTGGCTTTAAGTGAAACAAAGCTGAAGGGGGTGGGCGAGTTTCAGTGGAGAGGAATAAATGGGATTAGGTCAGGTGTTTCTTATAGAGTTAGAGCTAAAGAAGGAGTAGCAATAATGCTGAAGGATGAGCTATGGCAGGAAAAGAGGGACTATAAATGTATTAACCCTTTCAGGGTCCAAGGCCAAAATCTGAAGTCACGCACCAGTGTCCAAGAATTTAAAAAAAAAAATTTGTTATTTTTTCTTATGAAATCGTAGAGAATCTTTTTGTGAAGGTAATAAAACAAAAAGTACGAAATTTGGTGGAAAATTGGCGAAATTATGCTCTCGCGAATTTTGATGTGTCAGCGATATTTACGAATCGGCGATTTTGCCGACTTTGACTCCCATTTTAGGCCAATTACATTATTCCAATCAACCAAATTCTTAGCTATTTCACTAGTATTACTTCTATTCTATCGATTGAGCACAAGAAATCGCCAAGTCAACTGTTTCAACTACAAAATAAAGTGATCAGAAATTGTTAATTTGGCCAATTTAACACAAAGTTCAAAATATTCCAATTTCAAAATAGGCTCCAGAATAAACAATGTAGGTATTCCTGGAACTAAACTAACATTTCCTCTGTTCATTAGTTACATTTCTGAGGCTTTACAAATAAATTCCATTTTGATTTTTTATTCACATAATGAATTTTTATTCACACCAAAAAAATAGAAGATTTACTGTTATGCAATACTGTAATAATTGTATAAATATCATCACCATATTTGTGAATGTATATTAGACCCCACCAGCTGACGTGTATTAGATGTGTGAGGTCGTTTGTTTACTCTTGAATATCAGCAAAAATTTAACATTTCTGCTACTTTGAGCTCAGTTTCAAGCCATTTCCAGTGCTAAAACCAATCAAAATCATCTCTATTTCTGTAATATGTCTTCCATTCTATCAAATGAGACCAAGAAATCGCAAATACAACTATAAAAAACATACGAAAAAACACTGCAAAGTCGCTGTTTTAATCGAAAAATCATGATCTCAGTTTTTTTCTCTCATTATACACAGTGTGCTGCAGGATCTGTTTTATGTGGTGCACACATACCACATAGATGTATTCTCTCATATCTAGGCCCAAATGTACCACTCACAGTTTATCAGAGTGAGCTGAGCTCATGGCGTAGATCTACGGTTTGGACACTCACCATAAAGCCGTAGATCTACGGGACGGACCCTGAAAGGGTTAATTAAAGGATTATGTGGAGTAAAATAAAGGTTGGATGTGAGAAGTGGGTTATAGTAAGCGTATTTGCACCTGGGGAAGAAAGAAGTATAGAGGAGAAAGAGAGAGCTTTTGGGAAAAAAGAGGAAATATACATCTTGTAAGGTTGACGAACAGATCAAGTAAACTGTTATTATCAGGAAGGGCTAGGCCCTCAGGGGTCATACAGAACCTGGGGAAATGGGAGGCAATCAGGTACAATCCAGGTATGAGTAGGAAAGGCTTAATTCCTTGGATAAAAAGTCCCTCCATGATACCAGTGATAAGTTGAACAATGTTGAACATTTGGAGTGGATGATTAACATGCTAAGAGACATATAATGACATTACAAACAGTTAGTGATGGGCAGATGACCTACTTAATGGTAAGGTAAAATAAAGGTTAGTTCAAAAGGTAGGTCTCTTAACTGCATAAGAGGTAAACCCAGATGTTTAGGTGACAGCTGGAGATTTCCAGTTGTAGCCATCCATTTAGAGTTCTTGGGAAGGACAAGGAACCCGAAAAATAAA